TTTGAATACACAGATACAAAATGGACATTCATAGGCATACCCCAATTTTTTTTTAAGTTCCTTTGTTGAATATTATAGGTGTGTAAACTCAGCAAAATATTCTAAAAGAGTACAGAAGCCCATAATAGCATTGAAACCCAGTGTCTCAAATCAGTGTTTTCTTCTATTGTTGAGCAAAGCTAGACGCTTCAGCTTTTATGTCACTTTAGCGGTCTGGTAAAAATAGGTGTGTTTGGAAGGAATAGAAGAGCTCTACGTTTGGGCTCTTGCATTGTCCAACTTCGTTCTCCTCCCTTACGTTCTTGTTGCTTGTGCTCTGCCTTAGCGTTGCGTCCACCTCGCTGCTGGGAATAAGGAAGAGCATGCCGTACTGCTCTGTAACTTCTTCTTGTATTTTGGAAAGAAGGCACTGGTCCTCCTGGGGACCTCGGCATTAGAAGTAAGTTTTAGAATTGTATTGCAGAACTAAATAAGATTTCCACCGCAAGTTTTAAAAGCTTCCACCCCATTTCCATCTTCTCATAAGCTAATTAAAGAAGTTTACAGTCAATTAATAGTCAATTGGTCCGTTAAAATTTCTTCAGTTCTCGGAATAACTTTCTCCTTGTCTTCCCCTTTGTGAAGAACAGTAAAAATTGTGCTTCGTCATGGGGATCTATTAAATTACCTAGAACCTACAAGGCACAGAGAATAGCACCTGTTCATGGCAAATACACAGATGTATGGGTGTGCGTGCGTGCGTGCGTGTGTGCGTGTGCGTGCGTGTGTGCGTGTGTGTGTGCGTGCGTGTGTGTGTGTTGGGAGGGGACTTCCGTAGCTTTACTTACAGTGTGGTTCTGGTGGCTGTTACCCTCCTCATGACCAGGATCATTACTGGAGTTCTAATATTTTAAGATTTTTAACAAACATTTCTTCTCAGAATCTGTCTCCTAGACTTGAAATTTGAAAGAGAAGCCAAGAAATTCATGTCTACCTATCTGGGATTTTTACAACTATATATTTTATATTTTCCTAAATTCACATCTCAAAAAGACGCTCTTTTGGATTTTTACTCCCACCATGAGTATTTTGCTACGTGTCAGTGTTCCAGTCTTGCCTTACGATTTCTGTCATGATAATTTACTTTCCTGCATTCCTTGGACATGGTTTATGTCCGTATTAGCTTTGCTTAGCCAAATCCCATGGCCAATCCTTGGGTGGAATCCGCTGTGGCAGTCTTAAGCGTCACTAGGTGGCAGTAAATGGCCAGCGGTACTTGGACAGCTACCGTGAGTGGCAGATGCAGGGCGTGATTCCCCCCACCGCCGTCCGCCCTGTGGGGTCCGCCTCAGCCGTGCGGTGGAGGGGCGGCCTCCTCCGCGGGAGCGACAGCGTGAGTGCATCGGCGGCGAGCAGCGAGCGCTCTGGAGTGAAGGAGGCCAGCGCTGCACGGAGTAGGGCTCAGAGCAAGAGCCTGGAGCGCAGACCCGGGCTTGCCACCTACTCTCTGTGCAGGCTCAGTTGTGTTTGCCTCTCCGAGCCTCAGTTATCGCCCCACAGAACTGCAATAACGCCACTCTCTGTTACCTTAGATGAAACCTTGAGCCTCTGGTTCTTCCTATCAAAGGTAGGCAGAAATATCATCCCCACCTATGGAGCTGGTGGTGAATTCAAGTGAGAAAAATTAGGATAATTCCTTAGCATAGCATCTGACACACATAAATACTCAGTAAAGTTAAACACTCGTACTATGATACGTTTATTCTTTGCTAAGAAAGGCTTGTACTACAAAATGGTGTAGGGCAAAATGCTGACGTGACTACTTCTCATTCTCAGACTGGTTTCCTGTGTACTTTTGTTCACCTGTAACTCCAAATCTTGTACTCAAGTTTAATTTAGTGGATCATTTAGTGGATCATAACTTAATAACGTCTTTATGACTCCAGCAGAGCCTAACTCTGACTCTCCATCCCTAACTGAGCCAGGGGTCCACCCTCAGCCTCCAGTTGGTTGTCTAACCCAGGGCCGCTAGTCTGTGTGACTCCTGTGTGTGGAGTGGACGAAGGGCCTCTCCCTCAGAGCGCGTTGGTAGTGCCTGTTGTACTCATCCTAATAAATTGACTTCATTACAGTAACACTGTACTAGCATCGGGGCACACCCACAGTGTTCTGTCATTTGGCTCCTCTTGCTAACTTGAGACTGAGGATTTGGAGAGTTTTAGGGGTCTCCTTATTTTAAAAAAAAAGTTTAAAAGCCCTTTTAAAAAATTATTTTAAGAATGAGAATCATTACAGTATAATTTCCACACATAGAAGTTAGTTAAAAATCACCCAAAATGACTTTAAATATTTTTCCTTTTAGGGGCATGCTGCATATGTATTAACTCAAGAAGCTAATGAATATTTGCTTTGGAACCCATCAACTGGACACTGTCACAGGCAGTTTGATCCATTTTGTCCCTTACAAAGTGTAGATTGTTTGTTTAATGATAAGAATGTAAGTATACGGAAAGAAATCTTATTTTCAGTTAACTCAAGAGTTCCTAACTATGTATGAGAACCGCCTGGGACTTTGAGGACACAGATGTCCTGTCAGGGTCCCTGGGGCACAGGGGTTGGGTGTCTTTCTCCCTGGAGCTTCCAAAGTTGAGACCTAGTGGGAAAGTCCTTTGACCACAAAATCCTAGAACCTCTGTCTCCTGCCTCAGAGCTTCTCTTGTCTTCTACCACTTTGTTGAGTAGTAAGACTATGAATGTTTTCTCTGTCTTCAGTAACTACTGGCTTTGTGTTTCTACAGACCTCTGTTGGTTTTCTGTTAATGTTTTAATAGGTCTGGTTTAATATTCAACAAAACAACACACCAATGGCTGTCTATTTTGACTATTCAAAGGAAAGTTTCTGGAAACAGTTGCTTCCAAAAAATTTTCAGGGAACAAAAATACAAAGCATACAGGTAAATTATGTTTTTCCAAGTGGGTCTACAGGAAAGTTGCCATTGCTTCTAGGGATATCGCCTGTTATGTTTTATGGTTGACTGCTTATTGAATTATTTGGCGATGTTAATCAAAACTAGTTTTCTCTGCCATCTGATCTGTGTTTAGGTTACTTTGGTCCCTTCTAAATAAGGGGGAAAACAGGGAAAAAAAGAAATTGATTTAAATTTAAACTTATATGAATTTAAACTTTATAAAAATTGGAGAAGTGCACATCGATCCTCGAACTGTGGCAGTTACCTTATGGAACTAGAAAGGAGAGAAACACTAACCATGAGCAGCACTGATCTAAAGGTGTCAGCCAGGCTGAAAAACGCCTCAGGAAAATCAAGGACTCACTTTTAGAAGTCAGGGATTATGCTAGGGCTTCCCTCCTCCTGGCTATTAGCTTGCTGTCTGAGGCTCAGGGGTGTCCAAGAGCTGTCTCTGCCGACGGAAACCGTGGTGTGGGGAATCTGCTGACTCGGGCCACTTCAGGGACGTGCTCCAGATAGCATTTCCACTGGGGCACCCGGATTGAGAGCCGTGGGGTGGCAGTGTGACGACAGCTACTAATTCCACAAATTAGGCACTGTAAGCCCGGAAAGACAGGAGAGAGAGAAATAAAGGATGAGACAAAGACAAAAAGAACGGTAGAAAAATAGGCAAAAGACAATCCAGGAAGCATCAACCAAATGTTCAACTAAAAAATAAAATAGTATTTCAAGTGCACAAAGTTGGTCCCCAGCAAGTGTTATCATACCAAGTCTCAGCAAAGACGAGAATCAGGAGGATACAAACTGCTGCACTCTGGAGAGAAACGTGCTGCTTTCGGGCGAAGCTGAGGACAAGCGACCTTCCATCCGCTCGTGCCAAACCAGATTAGAGGCTACTTTGGGGAGAGGGGAAGAAAGAGGTAAGGGGCACATACACTAGCACCTGAGGCTGTCCACGGTTTCTTCTTCTTTTTAGTTAAGTTTATTGGTACAGTTTAAGTATACATAATGATCCATTCCTCATAGGGAATGTGCACCTGTACCTGACGTACCTTGACTGTTCCCCCTTCCTTTATCCTCCCTTTAAGCCCCTCTTCCTCTACTTATTTACAAAACCTTTGCTTACACTTTCTCCTTCTTTTCTTGTTGTTTTTTCTTTTTCTTTCCTTCCTTTCTCCCTCCCCCTCCCTAGTCCCCTTGCCCATTTTATTTTATTTTATTTTATTTTATTTTATTTTATTTTATTTTATTTTATTTTATTTTCAGTGCTGGGGATTGAACTCAGGACCCTGCACTTACCAGGCAGGCACTTATTCTACAGAGCTCTCTCCTCGGCCCTCCCTGCCCATTTTAACATTTTCTTCCTATTTCATAATATCTATTTTACATGTTGGCCCTTGTTTATACTTTTGGTTTCTCACACCAGAGAAGAGATGCAATATTTACATGCGTGTTTAATTCACTTGAATGTGGCCTCAAAGTGCTTTCATTTAGCTATAAATGTCTCAAGTTTATCCTTCATTATGGATGCAGAGTAGGCTATTGCATTAAAAAACCACATCTTCTTTATCCATTCATTAGTTGATGGGCATTTGGACTGTTTCCAAGATTTAGTTATTGCAGTCTGTGCTGCTGTAAATATAGACTTGGGTGTGTGCGATGGCTTGCGTCTAGATGTCCCCCCACAGCCTCATGCAGCCGTGCGGTGGGCTTATAGATTTTGCGATTGATTCATAGTCCACTACTGGGATTATGGGTGTGAGAGCTACCCGCTCCGCAGGGCAGAGAGCCTGGACACAGCGTGAGGGAGGAAAGAGCTGCGCTCTCGCCGCCGCTGCTGCTGCTCCTCTTCTGCTCTTGCCGCTGACTTCTGCCGTGAACTGCTGCCCTCTGCACGTGCCACTCTCTCTGCCTTGGGGCCAGCGGAGCGTGGACTGAAACCTCTACAAGCTGCGAGCTAAAGAAACCTTTCCTCCCTTAATTCTGGGTGTTGGATGTTTTGTCCCAGCAACAAGAGAAAATGACTAAGATCACGTGCATATGTCGCATGGTATGAAGCTTCTCATTCTTTTGAGAAGATACCGTGAAGGGGAATAGCTGGGCCAAATGGAGCCTCTAGTTTCAGTTTTTTGAGGAATCTCCATACTGATTTCCACGGTGGTTGCAGCAGTCTGTACTTCCACAAACAATGGAGAAGGGTTCCTTCTTCCTCCAACCCTACCTGCATTTGCTATTGGTTGATTTCTTGATAACAGCCATTCTTTCTTGGGTGAGACAGAATCTGAGCATTGCCTTAATTTGCATTTCTTGAATGACCAGTGATATTGAGCATTTTTTCATGTATTTATCTGCCATTTCTATTTCTTCATCTGAGAAGCATCTATTCATTTTAGATGCTATTTTTGTATTGGGTCTTTAAATTTAGGGGTCTGATTTTTTTCAGTTCTTTATACATTCTATGTATTAGTCCTTTGTCTGAGGAACAGCTGGAACTTTTTCACATGCTACATTGTCTTTTCTCTCTGTTGGTAGTTTTATTTCCTGTCCAAAAGCATTTCAATTAGATGAAGTCCCAATTGTTGATTTTTTGTAATAGTTTCCACACAATAAGGGTTTTGTTTATAAGTGTTTGCCTACACCAATGTCTTCAAGAATTTTACCTGTTCTCTCTTCCTGCAGATTTAGTGTTTCTGCTTTAATATTTAAATTTTTGATCCATTTTTATTTTAGTTTAGTGCATGGTTAAATATATGGATCTACTTTCAAGGGCCAGCCTGATAACTCAACAAATTAAAGTCCCTGCTTAGGCAGAACGTAACGGCCACGGTTCAATCCCTGGCTTGCTGTGCCAGCCCCGCCTCTGTGGTGCACTGAGATGGCAATTGAGACTAGGTGTGGTGGTGCACACCTGTAATCCCAGTGCTTGGGAGGCTGAAAACAGGAGAATCACTATGAGTCCAATCTACGTAGTGAGACACTCTAGACACCCTATAGACCATGTAGACACCCCATAGACCCTGCAGACACCCATAGACCCTGTCCTTTATGGGTCTACTGTCAATCTTCATCATTTGGAAAGCCAGTTTTTCCAGCACCAATTATTAAAGAGGCTATCTTTCTTCCAGTGAAGGTGTTTGGCACCCCTGTCAAAGAGAAGGTGGCTGAGTGTGTCTGGGGTTGTTTCTGCATCCTCTCATCTGTTCCATTGGTTTTCAGGTCTGGTTTATTGTTTTGGTTTTTGTCTGTTTTGTTTTTGTTTTTGTTTTTTGCCAGTACAATGCTACTTTTATCACAGTAGCTTTGTAGTCCAGATTCAAGTCAAGGATTGTGATGCCCCTATAGTTTATTTGTTGCCCAGAATTGTCGGTGCTATTCTAGGTCTTTTCTGGTTCCAAATGAATTTTAGGATTTTTTTTTTTAATTCTATGAGGTAGACTATTGGTATTGTGCTTGGTATTGCATTAAATCTCTATAACAATTTTGGAAGTATGGCCATTTTCACTATATTCATTCTTCATACCCAATAACGAGGGATATATTTCCATTTTCTGATATGCTCTTCAATCTTCTTTCTCAAAATACTGTAGTTTTTGGTGTAGCAGTCTTTTTTTCTTAGTTACATTGATTCTCAAGTGTTTCATTTTTTATGATGCTGTTGTGAAAGGTAAAAGGTGGTATGTCCCTAATTTTTCTCTCAATGAGTTTGTTATTTATGTACAGGAAGGCTCTTGATTGGGCGTGTTGCCTTTGTATCCAGCTGTGCTACTGATTTTGGTTATTAAATCTAGAAGTCTTTTCATAGAGTTTGCATTCATCAAAATAGCAGTTTTACCCTCAGGAAGAATATTTAAAAGGGATTATTAGGAAAAAATAAAGAAACAGAAGAAGAGGAAGAGATTAGAAACAAGGCCGGAGGACAAAGGGAGAGCCGGTGAAGTTTGGAAGACTGGTGGAGAAGACAGGAGGCTAGGAAAGATCTAAGAAATAAAACAGGAAGAGAAAAGAACAACAAAATCCTAGCAACCGTGTTCATAATCATATAAAATCAAGAACAGTAAAGAAAAAAAGAGAGAGAAAAAATGAGAAGAAAAAAAGTGCACTTCAAGGTACGTCTTGCTGTCCCTGGTAGACGGCGTCCAAATCTGAGCTGGCTAATCCCAGCAAGCCAGCAGGGGAGCTGTGCAACCCACAAGCTCGCCTCTTTAGTTCCCCTGAAGTTTGGGCTGCTTCAAACCCATTCAGCCTGCAGCAGTTCGCGCTTCTCCTGCTGGCTTGAACTCAGTTCACGCCCGCTGGAAATTGGCTCCCTGGCCTGCCGCCGCCGCCTTGAGCTCAACTTCCTCCCGCTGACACTGGGAGCCATTAGATGGAGGTAGCAGCTGCTCCGGGCTCAGGGCTCAGTTGGCCCCTCTCCAAAATAGCTTCTGGCCAGTGGCCCCCCTGGGAAGTCTGAACCCAGATAACTCTCCAGCCACTGAGCTCTGCAGTGGCCACTGCTCAGCTCCACTGCTGTGCCTCTCTGCAGAGGCCTCTGAGGTCCCTGGTTGTCACTGTGCATCTGTGTGTTCAAACTGCCCCTCCCCCAGAGGGCCTCCGGGCTCAGGAAAGGCGCCCCCTGCTGCCACTGTCTTCTTCATTGAGTTTTTTCTTTTTTCTCTCCCTTTGGACTCCAATTTTCGCTTCAGACCCTTCCCAAGCCCCAGGGATACACTCCCCTCCTCCGCTTTTCCTCACGTTGCTGTATTCCAGGGTCTGTACACCAAATCTTAGAAAGACTCTTTGCTTCTCACCATGCCACCATTTTCCGTGAAGTCCTCCATAGTGTCTTCTTTATTAAAAATCTAAAATAAATACTGAAGAATTCAATAATTAGATATAGCTGGGTAACAAGTATATCAAGTGGATGTTCCTTAAATTATCTCTGTGCTGACAAATTTAAGGCGATCCACAATATCACAAAGAATGCATGGTGGTTGTGGGTGACCAAAGTACATAAAATGACGAGTTTTTCTCCCCTTCAGTGTCTTTTCTACACCCTCTAAGAAATAACTACTGTCCAGTAGTTAGTTTCTTATGCATCTTTAAAAGCATTTCCACGTAGATCATGCATATGTATGTATTTGTATGTTTCCTATTGGAAATAGCACTTTCGTGATGGAAAAAACATGCTTATCTCTCTTGAGAAAACTATATTTAGGGTCCCTACTGTGCATGGTTTACTTGTCCAAGCCCCAGCTATGGCTGAAGCATGGCTGCCTCATGCAGGGCAAATAATCTATTGAGAAATGAGGTTGTTTGCTCAATACAGTCTCTCTCTCTCTCTCTCTCTCTCTCTCTCTCTCTCTCTCTCTCTCTCTCCTCTCTCCCTTTTTGTCTTTTTTTGCTATGCAGCTCTGGCTGGCCTTGAGCTCATTTTGCAGCCCAAGCTAGTCTTAAGCTCACAGCAATCTTCCTGACTCTGCCTCTCTAGTGCCGGGATTGCAAGCATGTGCCACCACACCTGGCTCAGTACCATTCTCTTATTCATTCAGGCGATATTTTTTGATGTCTGCTCTGACCCATTGCTGTGTTAGGGGTAGGTACCACAAAGAAAAAAGATGTATCTCAATGTTTTTGGAACATCATTTCTACAGGAGAAAACAAGCCCGTGCAGTGGTGCCTAGAGAAGAAATGAGCTTCGGTAGTAAGAACAGAAGGGCACGGGGATGGAGCTGCAGGCTTCCCACAGGGGCTGACAAGCTGGCCTAGGTGGAAGTCAGGGAGGAAAATGGTTCCAGGACAGAGCAAGAAAGGCGAGACTTGCAGTGGTGAGGGACAGACTGTGGCGGAGCTGGCAGGCCAGCTTGGCGGCTGCCAGGGAGTGAGCAGAAATGAGTTCAGGAGTGAACAAAATCAAAGCTTGGTCCTTTGTTCTCAGGGCAGTCAGAAGCCAGCACCAAGGCAAAGGGGGCCACGATCAGCCTTGCGTTCCAGGAGCCTCTCTCAGAGTAAAAACAAAACCTTCTGCCAAGTTGAATCCATGAGTAGAAGATTATGCTCGTGCTTGACTGCTACCCCTATTATTTATTTCCCGTAGCTTAATGGCCCTCCATTTTCTGCTTTGCCACATTTGTCCCAGAATAAGCTACTACCTAGGGTAAACACTTGTCTGTTACACATGATTGAAACACAAATTTGAGTGTATACGATGAGTATGTGGGCATCCAGGGCTGAGGTTAGCAGGAAAACCCTGTTGAACTTCTGTGGGACATGAATTCCCAGACAAAATGGTGGGCCTTTGCTAAAAAAGAAAACAGACTCTGTAAATACATCAAGGCAAGATGCCCAGGCCTAACTTTCAAATCTGATGGGACCTAACTTGTCCACAAGCATCGCCCAGGTTGGGGTAGAGGGATTGACAGCAGTGGGTAAGGACAATCAGGAAATTTAGTCCGCCAGTCCTATCTGGAATAGCTGCTGACTCCCTCTAGGTGACGCGAGGATTTCAATTTCCATTTCTTAATCTTTTGTCTCCTACCGTGTTCTGGTGTGGGGATGCACCCTCGGCTGTCAGAACCACCTGAAGGGGGTGCCTATTAAAACACAGCTCACAGGCCTCCCCCCCAGAGTTTCTGATCCAGCAGTTCTGAAGGGAGAGCCAAGACTTGCGTTTATAACCGTTCTCCAGCTCTAATAGCGCTAGGCTGGAGGCCACACTTTGACAATGTAGAGTGTCATCAAGGGTTGCTCCCCTTTGGCACAGCCTCATCCCCTAATAGAGGAAGAGTGTCTATCTCCATAGCTTCCTGTGTTCCTCATCTCAGGAATACTCAGAGTAAAAACTAAGCCCAGCTCCTCACTGTCATCCTTGTGAGCCATGCAGGAAGGGCAGGGTTAGGTTGGGAAGGAACCCAAGTTCTCCATCTCTACTGGAAAATGTTTTCAAGAACGGGAGCCCAAGGAAACAGGAAGAGCGTCGCTCTTGGATTCGGGATGGAGAGTTGCGTGAGCAAAGGCATAGAGGCAGAGAAGTTTGAAATGTGTGTATGTGTGTGTGTGTGTGTGTGTTGTGTATGTGTGTCCATGTGTACACTCATACCTGTGTGCACACAGACACAAGCACAACGAATTGTCTCCCGTCAACTGTCAGAAATACTCAGGAAAGAATGACGGTGAGCATGATAGGAGGCCCGTAGCAGCAGTAGTAATGGCTGATGTTTGCTGAGCATTCTCCCTGGGGCAGGCTTGGCATGTAATTAGGACTCCTCCTAAGGTCCAAGCTCAGTAGGCACTATGGAGGTGTAGTTTGTAATCTAAAGATGAGGCGAGTGAGGTTCAGAACAGAGTTTCATGAACTTCACCAGAGACACAGTAATTGTAAGAGACTCATTCAGCTGCTGCAGAGTGCTTGCTAGAATCAATAGCATATCATATACTTATTTGGATAAATTAATAAGATAGCAGGTCTGTCTTGCTTATGAAAGATGTCTTTTTAAATTTGCCTCTCTCTTGCCCTCACGTTCTATTAAAGTAGTTTTGAAATCAAATGATGTAGTTATCTATGTTCTATTTAAGGGATTCGGAGTTTGGTTTGGATCCCACCACTCCTAGATCTCCCAGGGGCAACTTTGATACAAAATGGTTTCTCTAGAATCTTTCTTAACTTTTAGTTGCATGTCTTTCAGCCGGAAGAAATCATTTATTCTGATACGAATAAAACTATGGTAGAAGATCTAAAGAACAGGTATTATGTATGTTCTTCTGCTAAAGTCTTGTTAGTCAACCTTCAGCCCTCCTAACCCAGTCTTTCAAAATACCTGTGAGATCAAACAGCGGAAGTGTGGAGAGGGGGATAATCATGGTTAGTCCAACTGAACTACAGTACTTGTTTCTTGGTAGAGGCATTGAAGAGTGACCCTTCCTTCATTCAGGGAGCCCCTGGAGAGAAGAGCGTAAGTTTATTCAGGAAAACCTTGTTGCCCACTGCTGGAAATTTCTGAGCACAAATGTTTGTTGAGCTATGGTCGTAATCATAATCTCATAGCTGACGCTTCTTGAAAGGACAGAAAGGTTAATGGCCCAGGACTCAGGGTACAGTAAAAGCATCCCAGTTGGATGGTAGAAATAGCTGTTACCCCTGGGTGTTCGCTCGTTCACTAAATAGTGCATGCTAGTGCCTTGCGGAGTCGTGCAGCCCAGCCCAAAGGCTCACAGACTCTATGAGGCCCCATCTTGCTCCAAGTGCATCAGAAGCTTCTGGCTCTCAGGGCCTCACTGACTCATGCTCCTCTGCTGGGCTGGCAGGCACGGACGAGCAGTCACTCAAAACAGAGTGGGGAGAGTCCAGCGGCACCGCTCCCTTCTCTCACTCTCACACCATCCGCTCCACCTGCTGCTCCCACCCCTCACTCCCCACCTCTGAACGAATTGTAAAAGGTAACAAATGAGGCAGGGAAACTGCTCATCAGTATTGCTTCTGGGGCCCAAACCAGGCTTGTTGACATCTAGAAGTAAAAGAGTCTAATGAAGCACCACAGAGTGCTTATTCTGATGGGTGGCCATGACCAAGACCCTCTAAGCCTGCTTAACTGTAGCATAAAGCTGAGAGGAGACCCCCAGCAGCTTTGTCAGTAACACACACCGTGGAAAGACTTCACCCCACACAGCCATACTGCACAGAAGAGGCTTCCCAGGACAGCTCTGTCACCAGATCACACCATTTCCAGCACAGTACCAGAGACTGTCTGGTCAACAGTCAAACTAAGGAGGACCCCTTGGGATTCGGATTGCCTGTGGAAAGGTGCACACATGCCTTTCTTCTAGAGGCCACTCTGGGGCCACTTCTGTGGCAATCCTCAGGCCCCATCACAGCTGCTAGCCCAGTCACACGTAACAGGCCACATAATTGTGGCTGGCTGCCACCTACAGCAAAGGCTGATGAGGCGCATTGTGCCCAAGTCATGCTGCTTGGGTTTAAGGCCTACCAGGACCCACCACCCCAGCAGCCCGAGCTGAAGCACAGCCATCTTAGGCCTTATTCTCCTCACACACCACTCTGTGGGCAAGAGCACCAACGAAAGTCCCTGCTTGTGTGGAAAAGTACATTCTAGAAGGGGGAAGCCCATCATCAAATTCATCAGTCCACGGTCCCATTTTCTCCCAACTCTACTTACTAAATTGCTGACCTAATAATGCCATCCCCACTAACATCATCCTAGACTGAATCTCTTAGTTTTTAGAAAGGTGATTTGTTGGAACTACAGTGTCCTGTGCCAAAGGAAGGTCTCAAAGGGTAGAAAGTTGATGCAGGGATTGGGTGGCAGCTGGTGTCAAATGACATCCAGGTGGCAGCTGCTGACACACCAGTGTAGAGGTGTGCTTTGGAAATCTAAGCGCTGGGTACTAAGTGAAGATTTTTGCTGTCCCCAGCCAACCACAAGTTTATTTATCCTTTAGTTCACTAACATGAATGGTGATAGTCAACCCTCGCTGCATAGGGCTGGCTTTCCTTAAACCCCCAGCATCAATCCCATACAGTACTTGAATAAAAGCAGCAACACTTGCATCACATTTACTAAATGAATCGTGATTTGTCACTAAAAATGATCTTTGCATTTTTACCTGAGGATTGAAAGAACACTCAAATGGAAAATAATGGAGTGGAGACCGAAGCGCCCGACACGCTGGAGTCGACAGTGCGCTTCCATTTTGCGACAAATCCTTCCTAAGCTAGAATTTGGCACAGAGAGTCTTGTTTCATCTGAAGAAGAGAGTGAACTTGAAAAGCTGCTGCAATTTTACTGGGTTTGTACATGATTTAATGCATCAGTAACATTTGTCTTTGTGTGTGTTGTTGATTGATGAATAGCAATTGTAAAATGCCTTTTTATCTTGGCCCCCAAAGAGAGATATAAAGGCATTAAAATGCATTTACTGATAGACAA